TATATTTATATATATATATATATATATGGAATATCAGAATTTGGCCCATTTTGTTTTATGGCATCAAATATTGAACAATAATGATTTAAGAATCTATTTAATATGCCTAATATAACTTTCCACCTATGATAAAGTCTCTTATAGTAATGCAGCTGTTGTGAAGCATTAGCTGACACCTACATATCAAATCTAGTTTTTGGTGTTTATAACTCAGCAGAAAAGCAATTGCATACTAATCCTTTGTGTGAAGCATACCACATAAAGTATGACAAACCCTTAGGCTGTGTCTACACTGGGCCACTTATTCCGGAAAAGCAGCTGCTTTTCCGGAATAAGCTGTGAGCTGTCTACACTCGCCCCTTGACTTTCCGGAAAAGCGGTGATGATTTACTGAAAGAAATCAGCTGCTTTTCCGGAAAAACTATGCTGCTCCCGCTCGGGCAAAAGTCCTTTTTTCGGAAAACTGTTCCGGAAAAGGGCCAGTGTAGACAGCACAGTATTCTTTTCCGCAAAAAAGCCCTGATCACGAAAATGACGATCGGGGCTTTTTTCCAGAAAAGCGCGTCTACATTGGCCACGGATGCTTTTCCAGAAAAAGGGCTTTTCTGGAAAAGCATCCTGTCAATGTAGATGCTTTTTTCCGGAAATACTTATAACGGAAAACTGTTCCGTTTTAAGCATTTCTGGAAAAAGGTGCCAGTGTAGACACAGCCTTAGAGTGAGTTTTTAGGAAAATGGGAAAGAAACCTGAATTATACTGAAGGAAAAAAAGAAATGTTATTTGCATCCTTCCAGAACAATGATATTCCTAAAATCAAATTTGGCCAATTGCCTATATTCTTCATGAACAAGAAGCAATTTTGCATATGGCCAATGAAAAATGTATTATATCATTTTATACAGATGTTTGTTGGTGAATATTTAATTATACCTAATAAGACAGAGCACTTAGGCTCTACCATGCTGTTCACACACAGAACTGAAGAAGCTTTACAAACTTGGATGCAAATTATTAACCCCGTTTTACAGATAGGGACAGTGGCAGAGTGACATAACTAAATAGGGACTACTGGTCAGTGCAGTTCTCCAAGGATCTTCAGGGGTCAAACCAAGGTCAAGGGCCTTAGATGGATTTGGTCAAACTTCATCCCTGAACGAAGTTTGAGTAAATTGGGAATGAGAATTCTGGAGCAGATCCTTAGGGGGTGCAAATTATCACAACTCCATTGGCCTGGTTGTTTACAATGGAACCATGACAATTTGCACCCAAGGTGATTCTGCGCCCCAGACTATTCTCTGTATGGTGGAGAATACAGTTAGGCTCAGAGGGCCAGATTTTTAAAGGTATTTAGGTGCCAGGGGAGCTTAACATGTAGTCACTTCTGAAATTCCCACCAGGCACCTATCTGCATCTTTAGGCACCTCACTACCTTAAAATATGATTCTCTGAACCTGAATATCTCCTCTATGGGTTATCATAAGCCAAAGCTGAGAAACTCAAAGGGGTACAGCATCACCTGGAGCAAATTGTCATAGCTCATTTGAACTCAGTGGAGTGCCTCTGAATTTCCAGAGACTTGACAGAGGCAAATAAAGTCAGTATAATTTTTACCAGAGTTAAGACTGCATGATTGGGTTCTACGTTTTTTTTATTCAATTATTTTTAAAAATGAAAATATGTATGATTAGAACTATTAGGAAATTCAAAAGTCATCCTCATACATCTATGGATGAAAAGCACTATGAATGCTAAGAATTATTAATTATTATGTTAATTATAATAGGCACTTAGCATTCTCTCCTAGTTTTTCCCTTTATGTATATGCAGAGCTGTAGCTTGGATAATATTTTGGATAACTACTTGACTTTTTAGCTTACTGCACACTTAACATTTTAGTTTTTGATCTATTTTGTGAACACCTGAGAACCTGGATCATTGAAGAAGGCCTCCCATACACACTTCATTTTGCCTATAGAAGAAAGACAAGAAACCTCTCTGACCTCTTCCTGCCTTTAGTTTTCATTGAAGAGAGCCTCTGAAATGATCAGATAAAGATTTCCGATAGATGATAGCACTCGTAGAAAGAACTTTTTAATTAAATGCTTAAAAGTTCAAAGGTTTCTACAAAATTCAGATGATCCTATTAATACCTTTCAGTGAAAAATGGCAAACCAGCACTTCCACATATCTTTGTGAATCTTTTCTACTTGAATTTCCATTTGCTAATTAAACACAGATTGTTAATTAAGCAGGATATTCTGTGCACTGAGGTCACTATCACAGCATAATCATTAAATTCTAGCCTTATTTATGTACATATAATCATGGGTACTATAATTTTTCTAATCATTTTAATAAATCCCATTCTTATATAACTCCACCTTTGAAGCAAAGCAGGTGTTAATATGCTGAAATTATTGTGACTCCAATCAAAGCTTGAACTATAATGCCATTCCAGAACTCCATAAACAGCCTATGTAGTTCAAGCAGAGTTTAAAATTTCATTGAACATATTTATTGCTGTGCTTTTAGCAGTTAATTGACCAGCCTTGATGGTTTCAAAGAAAAGCTTCCCTATGTGACTCAACCTAGTGCTGTCTTCCTGAATCTGGAAATAGCTTGGAATAATAGTACAAAGAGAAGCAAGCTGTTTGTTTATGTGATTGACTCCAGAGTCTAAGAAGGAGAGTTTGAATACCAATAGTGCTAAATGTTGCACTGCTGAAAAAACTTCAAAAACAATAATGGTCTTCTGGCATCTTGGAGACTAACAAAAATATTTAAATAGTATCACGAGCTTTCAGGGGCACAACCTGTTTCTTCTCAAGAAGTGGATTGTGCCCATGAAAACTCATAATACCATCTATATTTTTGTTAGTCTCTAAGGTGCTACAGGACCACTGTTGATATTTTTAGTTACGGACTAACATGGCTACCCCTCTGAGACTTTGTTTCATTGCTGCTTGTTTCAGCAGAATTATCCATGGCCTTATCTATTGATTTGACATCATAGTAGTAAAAGGTGGAAAAAACCTGTTAAATTATCTAACCAATTCTAGGGAAGCCAGGATTGCTCCCTACTCTGTATTTTCTAAAGATGAGGAGATATCTCCACTAGAAAGTTAGTTCAACCTGCTTCATTGCTCAAGAATGAGAAAAATTCATACCCCTGAAGAGGCATCATTAACCTAACTTAAGCCCTTGTGTAGACAGCACCATGTCGATGGAAGAATTCTTCCATCCACCTAGTTACAGCCTCTTGGAGAGGTGGATTTCCTACAACAACAGACAAATCTCTTCCATCTGTGTAGTAAGTGTTCACACAACAGCGGTGCAGGAACATCACTACAGCACTGCCACTGTAATGTTCCAAGTGTAGACATAGCCTTAAAGTTCTACAATTTGAAATGAATCACCAGGGAAAAGGAAATAGCAACTAGGCGTGTGGGTTGGGTAAGATGTAGAGCTATCAGCTCAGGCAGTGCAAGAAGTGAAACATGAGCAGAGTTCCACTGTCCTTTCCTACTAGGTCTGAAAGACAATGTGGTAACTTTACAAAACAGATAACACTAGTTTAGCCAATGATTCCAGAGAGCTAAATTGTAGAGAACTTCACACAAAAATGGTGCTTATTCAGATTAAACTGATAGACCAGCACAACAGCTCGGCTGGCAGCACAGTCCCTTTGCCTGTGGAAAATTCGGAATTGTGACCAATTTTAGGGTACTTGCACGTAAGAGTGTTGAGATCTGGGAGCATCCAACCATTGTTGATTCAGTATAAGTCGGTTAATGTTGCATTAGGTGGTGGCTGCATGGGTGTGTCTACACAGCACAGTTATTTTGGAATAACAGCTATTATTTCAAAATAACTATGCGAGTGTCTACACAGCAATGCCACTATTTCAAAATTATTTTGAAATAACAGACATCTTATTGCAGCTTCTGTAAACCTCATTCTACAAAGAATAATATCTATTCTGAAATAGCTATTTTGAAATAAGGCATATATAGATGCTCCACTTCTATTATTTCAAAATAGCCCCTCATCAGGGCCATTCTCAGTTATTCCTTCTGGGGCTCTAAATCAAGATAGCACATCTACATAGGGAAGCCTTCCTCGGACTAATTTTGAGGCTTCCCTGCAGTGTAGATGTGCTATTTCAAAATAAGCTATTTCAGAATAACTATTCCAGAATAGCTTGTTCCTAAATAACTGTGCAGTGTAGATATAGCTTAAGAGACAGAAAAGAGGAATGGCATGAATATGAGAAAATAGGTGTCTAAGAATGAAAGAAGCTAACTCAGTCAGTGTTAATACAGGACCTCTTGGGATGATGTCATTAGAGAGGGGCTCGCCACACACCTTTCCTCTAACATGCTTCTGCTCTACACAAAAAACATCCCTCCACATAGATGTACATTTTTACACACAGACATTATAATTAATAATATAGAATAGGTAAGTGCATGAAAATTCTTCAGTATATATTTACAACTTGTGTAGACTAAAGTTATGGAGACAGACTTGAAGGGAGACATCTCCAACATTGATAAAATGTAAGTACAAAAGACACATGATTGGATGGATATTGATGATGTGATTTGAGTAATGACATCATCCATAGACTCCTAGTGTCTTTGCTTTGCTTCTCTATCGTGATCACAACATAAATTGCTTGTCTTGTTTGACTTCCTTGTTCACCAAAGTTGAGCAGATTGTGGCCGTTTTCAACGCTTCTACCAGACAAAAAGCTTGGGACCATTTCTCGAAAGCTCAGCGAAAGAACATAGACATTTGGCGAAAGCATTCTGAGGTTGGTGATTTTATTATTACTTTTTATCCATCATCTCACAGCTGGATTGATACAGAACAAGTGTGACTTTAGCTGGACATACAGCTATCAGCAATATTTATGGCTGTAGTTTTAGCAATTAGTCAACTAGTCATTATACTCTCACATTTACAGTGCATATTGCTCCCATTACTAAAAATGTTGCTAAATAACAGTAAGTTGGAGAGCAGTGTGCTTTACGTTTTCTTTTACAAGAAATGGGAAATCACTGGCGGAATATGTTTGCTACTTTGAAATAAGGAAATGAAATGGTGAATTCAGCTTTTCTTAATAATCAGGAAAGCCTATTCAGTCCAGAGATGGAAGGTTTTCTTTTCCATCTATTTTTATGTCCATCTTTAACAACCATTTGCTTGTCTAAGTCCATGGCTGGCAAACACAGCAGTACAAGTGTAATAATAGTACACATTAAGGCAGCTATCCAAGTCCATGCATGTGTGACTGTCATAAGCATGAGCAAAGGAAATGAGAAAAGAGATTTGAGATTCCACTTTTCTTTACACTTGTGGCAGCGAAGAAAGTAACAGCCCTGTGTTGTGTTATTGGTCATCCAGCTTTCGATTTTAATTCAGTATATACGCTATGAACCCGTATTTTAAAAGTAAGTACCACTGTCTTTGTTGTCTTTCTTTTTTATATGAAGGTAATTTTATAAGTAAGTTTCTAATCTCCACGTGGTACAGTATGTTAATTGTTAACATTACACTCCTCTAAATGATTTTCCCTGTCTCAAAACAAAAACTTAAGAAGGTAAGATGCACTTATTTAATTATTTTGTAGTACACTTGTAAAATAAGTGTGGCACACTTAGTTTGAAAAACACTTAAGTGCTGCAATATAAATCATTTTGGTAACATTTTAAGTGCCCATTAACTAATGCTAAATTACAGTTGAATACCAATGGCACTAGATGTAACATCCGCATGAATACCAAATGAATTTTTATGATCAGTGCTATTATGGCGAATACCAAATGACTTCACAATAATGGGACACTTAAAATAAAATGTTAGAATAATTTATTGTTAAGAGCTGTATTTTGCATTTTGTTCATAAATAGTTTAAATGAGTGGCAAATAAAGTCATTGTATAACTGAAAGTTGAGGAGGTGGGCATTGTCTTTCTTGTCTTTTAGGGAGATGGGAAAAGTGGTTTTCTGTTAGTTTATTTCAACTATGTTAAAGTAATAAGAAAATAAGAATGACCATACTGGACCAAACCACTATAGCCCAATATCCTATCTTCTGACTCTGACCCAACACCAGATGCTTCAGAGGAAAGGAACAGAGAAGGCAATCATCCAATTAACCATCTTCTGTCATCCACTCCTAGCTTCTGGAAGTCAGAAGCAAGGGACACCCGGAGTATAGAGTTACATCATTGACCATCCTGACTAATGCCCATTGATGGACCTATCTTCCATGAATTTATCTAATTCTGTTTTGAACTCCATTATGGTTTTGATCTTCACAACATACCCTAGAAATTAGTTCCATAGGTTGATTGTGCGTTGTGAGAAGTGCTTTTTTATTGGTTTAAACCTGCTACCTGTTAATTTCATTTGGTGATTATTGGATCTCATGTTATGTAAAGGAGGGATTAACACTTCCTTATTCACTTTCTTCACACCACTCATGATTTTGTAGACCTCTATCATAGCCCCAGTTAGTCATCTCTTTTCCAAGCTGAAAAGTCCCAGTCTTTTTAATCTCTCCTCATATTGAAGCTGTTTCATACCTTTAATTAGTTTACTACTCTACTGTGTACCATTTCAAATTCTAATATATCTCCTTTTAAGATGGGGTGAGCAGTATTCAAGATGCAGGATGTACCCTGGATTAATATAGTGGCATTATGACATTTTCTGTCTTATTCTCTATCCCTTTTCTAATGGTTCCTAATATTCTGTTAGTGTTTTTGACTGCCACTGCACAATGAACAAAGGTCTTCAGAGAACTATCCACAATGAGTCCAAGATCTCTATCTTGAGTGACATCAGCTAATTTAGATCACACCATCTTGTATGTATAGTTGGAATTATGTTTTTCAATGTTCATTACTTTGTATTTATCAACATTGAATTGTATCTGCCATATTTGTTGCCCAATCACCCAATTTTCAAGATCCCTTTGTCGCTCTGCTCTGCTCTTTGTAACTCATTCTGCTTTGGACTTAATTGGAGTAATTTTGTATTGTTTGTTAATGTTGCCACTTCACTGTTTACCCCTATTTCCAGATTACTTATGAATATGTTGAACAGCTCTCGTCCCAGTACAGACCTCTGGCAACAACACTATTTATCTGTCTCCATTTTGAAAATTAACCACTTATTTCTACCCTTTGTTTCCTGTCTTTTAACTGATCTATAAAAGGACCTTCCCTCTTATCCCATGACAGCTTACCTTGCTTAAGAGCTTTTGGTGAGGGACCTTGTCAAAGCCCTTCTGCAGTCCAAATATCCACTGGATCATCCTTGCCCATATGTTTGTTGACCCCCCTCAAAGAATTCTAATAGATTGGTGAGGCATGACTTCCCTTACCAAAGTTGTGTTGCCTCCTTCCCAAAAGATCAGGTTCGTCTATATGCCCGATAATTCTGTTCTTTCCAGTAGTCCCAACTAGTTTTCCTGGTCCTGAAATTAGGCTTACTGGCCTGTAATTGCCACTGGGTAGCCTCTAAAGCCCTTAAAAAAATTGGTATCACATTAGCTATCCTCCTGTCATCTGGCACAGAAGCAGATTTAAATGATCCCTTCTTATGCTAACTTTTCATGACAGGATGCATCATATCATTAATTTGCTGTCTTGTAAATTTCTTTTCAAGTTCAATGCCGAAAAGTACAACTTTCCATAAATGCTAATTCACAAAACATCTTTGCTTATGTAAAAATTGTTGCTCTTTATTTCCTTTCTGAAGAAAGGAAACAATAAAAAATAACTTAAGAAGTTATGAAACCTCTGATTGAACCAATGTACATTAAAAGTTTTGTTATCCAGCATGTTGGGTGGAATGAGGGAGCCGGTAAGCCAAATATACTCGGTCATTACGAGCAAGGGAGTTTTGAAGCAGAAAGGGGCTTGGGACAGGGGGTTGAGGTGCAGGAGAGATTTCGGGGTGCTGGATCCAGGTCATGCTCACTTCAGGTGGCTCCCTTTAAGTGGCAACATATCCCTGCTTCTCCTAGGCAGAGGCATGGTTAGGCGGCTCTGAGCTCTGCCTGCACGGACCACCCCCACAGCTCCCTTTGGGTGGGAACTGAGCTGCACTGGGGGTGGGGCAAAGTCAGCACAAGGAGCCCCTGTAGCCATTCCTCTGCTGATGAGCAGCAGAGACATGTCACCAGTTTAATTGAGCCCCATAGAGCCAGGTAGGGAGCCTGATGGCCCTGCACCAACCAGGCTATGAACTGGACTTTCAATGAAGATCTGAAATGCCAGTTTACAGAGCTTCCTGGTTGGTAAAGTGCCAGATAACACAGCTTTTACTGTATATGAACAACTCACATTTCTCAGTTGTAAAATACTACATACATGTCCACAAGTAGCTCCATTGATTCGAATCATATTATTTGATTATTCCCTTCTTTGCTAATGTGCTTACATTTCCCTTGTCACTTCCCCTTTACCCCTCCCCTCACTCTCTGTGTTTTTCTGGCAACACAAATTTTAAAAGGACCTTTTTGAGGTTCCCAGAGAAGATTATTGTTTGGCTGCTAAAGACAGTTTTGAAACAGATGCTCCTGGGACATTTGCAAGCTAAAATACATTAGTCATTTGGTTTCTCAGAAGAGACAGTATATTCTCCATTAAAGAGGGTTTGTGTCTCTTTTCGATATAGAATTACAAAGTGGTTTATGAATTTCTGTTTTAAATTCAATTAATGTATTCAATACCAGTTTTCAATTTACCATTTTAGTAATTTCTCTGAATTTCAAATAATCCCCATGTAAAACTCCCATTAATTAGCCTCTCTGCCTTTGCAGTGATTAACAGATACATATACTTTTATCACAGTGTATGACATTTACTGATGAATTCAGGGTGTAGCCCCAAAGAAACACTCTCCTTTTTTTCCTCTATCCCACTATGAGGGTTTGTTGTTAATTGCATGGGTAGATAGTTGGAAGCTTCAGCACTATTTATTCCTTTCACGTGATGTTTCCTTGTTTCAGTGATTTCAGACCATCTCTTTGGGAATTGGGCTCTTTGTCGATAGAAAAATTAGCTGTCTGCAGACTGAAAAGCACTACACTAATCACTGTGCAACATCCCTGTGTTACATCTGACAGTATTATTAGGACAAAATAGAATTATCTCAGTCTTCTCTGTGCTGCTACCATTTCAAAGCCAGCCATTGCACCAGTATTATCCTGTTTTATTTTTTGAGAACAAAGACTCTCTGGACTTTTATAGAACCCACATTCTTGTTGATCATATACTTAGTTTCATACATACTGTCTCCCTGTCTGTCTGCCCTGGTTGGGGTTTTTCTGAAAATGGGCTGTTAGTACTGTCATTCGTTTCTTTTCAAGATTCAGATGTTGCCAAAAAGATAAATCTATGCTGAGAATTTAAAGTTTGTGAAAATTGGGTTTAGCATGTGCACGTGTAGAAGCCTAGAGCTTATGAGAGTTAGAGCTTTTGATTTTTTAGCCAGCTTGATACAGCACCTTTATACATTCATTTTACATGCAGTGTTAAGTGTTGCCATTATTGAAATATACCCGTCTGGTAGGATCAGAAGTAATCTAATAAGGGGAACTCATGTTCTCTATTGTTGTTTTCCCCCCACTGGTATAATTGAGGTATTCAGTTATTTTAAATATTTTAATACAATAATTCCATGCCCTTCGATTTGATCTCTCCTTCTAACTCTGACTCATTTGCTGATTCTGTACTAATATTCATGGATTATTTCTATGTATTTTTTTAAAATCAGAATATGCATAAAATAGTTTAGAAATAGGGAAATCAGTTCATGCAAGTCAATACTAATTAAAGGTCATTTTGGGTTTTAGGAGCTCCGGAATGCACACAGTGAACAGCTCATGGGGATCCGTCGTGAAGAGGAAATGGAAATGTCTGATGATGACAGTGGTGACAATCCCAGTAAAAAGCTGAGAGTAGATGAATCAGGTACAGTTGAAGCATTTCACACTATTCTGTAAGATGTCAAACTGTTTGTTTCAAAATGTAGGCAGGTGATCAGTTAACTCCAGTGATAGAAAATAGTTACATAACATAGACTATCTTCTTTTAATGTCATTATCCCTACATTTTGTCTTTCTATGAATCTCACTTGTATTCCAAGAAGCATACTCAGCATAATGCTCCAGTTCTTTCCATAGTTGCTTTTATTCTGGGACTTTCAGCCTGGTTTTTCTCATCTTTCAAAGCTGCATTTCATTCCAGGATAGTAATTATGCCATATTTAAATAAAAGCAGCCAAAACGTGTTTAATTCAATATTTTGTGAACCTCACCTTTTCTCTCTAGCAAATACATTTAAATGTGTGAGCTTGTTAATTAATATTTTTACTATATATCTGAGTTAACTCTTAAAGACACACATTTCACAGTGAGGCACTAGATATGCATTAAGTGAAACTCTTCCCCTACCTGGAAAGAAAAAATAAGTCCTGTTTGCATGATATATTTGCAAAATCCCTTTTCAGCTTTCTGCAAATAGTCAGCTATCCAGTATAAACAATTCAGAAGGTGGATATTGGACTGACACAGTGTAACTGGTATGCACTACTGAAGGGAACACCTTGGTTTTCATCCTTCCCTTGGTTTCTCTGACTTCACAGTATCATAGAAGATTAAGGATGGAATAGCCCTCAGGAGGTCATCTAGTGCAACCCCCTGCTGAAACAGGACCAGCCCCAATTAACCCCATGTCAGCAATGGGTTAGAGAGTTGTGAGGGTCTGACAAGGGTTGAGCCATGTGTAAAGAAAAGCCTTACAGAAGGCCTAGAAAAGAAGTTTAACTGATCACTCAGACACAGATGAGGAATATAGGCAAAGATGTGGCAGGTTATATGCACAAACTCAAAACTTTAGCAGTGACATACATTTCACCTAAACACCTTCACACAGGTTCCAGATTCTATTACCTGACTTCTTTTCTTCCATCACTGCTGGGTTCCTATGTCCATGCATGTGTATATCTATGTATGCTTATGTATATGCAAGAGAAAAGTGTTTACTCCACAGGAACCAGTGCCTGTGTGAGGTTAAAGATCTCCAGAAATAAAGACTGAAAAAAATATGTGGAAAGAAACTTTTTCTATGAACAGAAAAAGGGCCCTTCTCCTACCTACAGGAAAAATGTTTTCAGAAATATAGGTGGATATAATAAACCCTCCTAGGGACAGCTTTAATTTCTGCTTAAGATAATTGTATGGGATTGAATTTTCCAGTATTCATTAGTAGAGTGATTGGAGCTGACACGGTGGATCTGTGGGCATAGTATTCCTGGCAATCACAGATTCTTATGAACACGTAATCATTTGCCTTGGCTATGTCCAGTTTTATGGAGATAAATAATTATAATTAACAGTAACAATAAAAGGTGAGCAATGCCAACACACTGGAACTCAAGAAAAATAATTATGTTATAATTAGTCGTACTTAATATTTCATTGTGTTTTCATAAATACATACTTAGGTTGAGGTGCAGTTCAGCTACTGTGCATCATATTAGCCAGTAAGAAAACATGGTTTTTTTTCCCCCTGCAGTGAAAAGAAGATAGTTTTCAGTAACTTTGTTTTCTCTGTTTATTTGGTTTTGTCAAAAATCTAAGATGTCTGTGGTTTTTTTCCCTTCACCAGCTATTTTAGTTCATTTGAATTGGTCCCTTAGTATTATTTTGCATTCATAATATCAACAGTTTTGCTAATACATCACATACAAAGTATTATAAATCAAATACAGTCATCATCCAAAGCCATCACAGTGTAGCTCTTTTGGCATCAGTAGAGTTACACCAGGCTTGATTTTTGTCCCTGCATGTAGTTGATCCAGCCTGTTCCCTTTGGAGAATTACACAACAACAAAACTAGGTTTTACCATTTTATTTTTCCAACATTAGACTTTCAAATTAATGTTTTGATTCTCCTCTCACTTACGCTGGTGTCAAACAAATGACGTTACTTTTATGTAAAACTTGTCTAAGAGAAGAATCAGATCCTGCTTGTTGACTTTTTACCTTTTTTCTATTTATCAGAATACTCACCCTCTTTTGTGATTCCTTCTTTGCTTTAGATGTGTTAGGCATCTGTTTGTTTGTTTGTTTGTTGCTTGAGTATGTCGCTAACTATATGAGTATGTTGTTTACTGACCCAACTTTTTTTTGTAATCTATTTACATGGTCTAGTCTACAGAAAGAATATTTTTTCTAAAGAACATCTTTATATCACAAAGGGCACTTTTGTTCAGTATGCTAACATTGATATGTTCCTCACTATTAAATCCTTGTCTATCTCCAGAATTGTAATAGTATATAATTTTCACAAAAGGTAGAAGAGTATAAAAATGACCAAAAGATAAAAGATACAATCTCTGTTCAATTTAAGAGCACCATGTTCAATAAGAAACTTTAAGAAAACTAATTACAGATGAAAAGTTCTGGCCAGCCCTTATATCAAAAGCATATACATCATCCAGAGAGTCCAGGTTCTGGAATTTGTTCCTTAAATGTTATTACTGCTACAGTTAACATTACAATTTCAGCAGTCCTCTGAAACCATTTCATCTACTTAATCAAAAACTATCATTCTTAATGTCCCTTTAGATACTATTGTGATGAGTGCCACATGCATCCCGAACATCAAGATTAGAATGGAAAAGCTATATTGGTGGGACTTGTAATCTCCATACTTAAGTCTATCGAGATGAAAACGGATGAATTCCAGTCCCATCATATCCATTCACTATTTAACAGATATTGAGACTAGGGAGGTGCATGTGCCGGCTTAGTCTGATGAAGTTTAACTTTCAAAGTGACACAGTGCTAATGTCAGGCTCTTGCACACGGTGGACTTGTGAACTATGGAGCAGATGGTGAACTGTCTTAGAGTGAGGTGTTTGCTTTGGGAACCATGGTCAGGTCTTGAAGCCAGGCACAGATTTGTTGCAGATTACGAATTGCATTAATCACTTTGTGTTTTGGTGGATTCAGACTTGTTTAAGGATATATAGTGCATCTTAATAGTGCCTCATTACAAAGTACATTGTTTCATTTTAGACTCAAATTGACTTCTTTTACCCACAAGCATATTGATTTTCTCACTGTTTATTGCCCTAATTCATTGGTGTCAGCAATTCTGATTCTTAAAACCATGACTACACTGTCTATCAGAAGCAAAGCCCAGCTCATAAGTCAGGAACTCACAACTCCCATCAATTTGCTCATTCTTCTGAACTATGCAGCAATGCAGAGACACAGCATTTATAGCAGTGGTGTACAGCAGCATCACACTTTCCTGGTCTTGAGGCGATAAGACCTTTCTCACATGAGCATGTGGGTGGACAGATTACATCCCTACACCTTCAGGGATAGAACTGTCATCAACTAGCAGAGAGACGTTTTTAAACACCCAGAAATATATTAAACTAGCACAGATGGCTTTGTCTCATTCCTGACCAGTTTTCCCCACTCTGTGGGGCTGCCTGCTGGCTTTAGCCCCCACTGCAGAGTTAAGAGTCTTGGTCACGTTGTGCTACTGTATTTCCCATCCCTCTCAGATTGGACCCATATCCTGGGACTCAGGAACTCCAAGCAAACATCACCCAGTGAATCTGACCCACAGCTTGCAGCTGTTTCTTTAGAGCCCTCTTTTCCACAAGTCAGGCTTCAGATTTAAACAATGACTTATTTTCATTGTGGATTTTGAAGCTTGAAGGGAAAATAGAAGTTTTCTGAGGTAAAACAGAGATTGATAAAAATTGGTAACTGTCTTCATTAGTACAGTTGAAAGTCAAAGCCAAGGGGCAGTGATTGAAGCATTGGTTCAGAAAAACAGCACCCTACACAGGAGACTGGAAAATAGAGGAATTTTTTTTAACAATTCGAATTTATGGATGGTTGGTCTCCTGCCTGCTGACATTGGGAACAGGGGCTCTAAAGTAAATGTTGCAGGAGTAATTTTAAGAATTATTGAAGTATGGCTGCATCTTGTGGAGATAACAAAAAAATTTCTGTATCCTTAGGAGATATCAGTAATTTCCCTTGAAGGGAAAAAGGTACTACCCTGTTCCTAAGACATCTGTTCCTGATAATGAGCTATTCTAGCAAATGCTACTCCAATGAGGGAGAGAGTTTTGCAGGTAGCCATAAAAGCAAAAACATAGTTAACTACAGAATCCCACTGGATGGATGGTCCTGTGGTTAAGGCATTTGACCTAGATTCAGTAAAGCTGGGTGAAATTCCAGCTCTGCCACAAAGTTCCTGTGTGACCTTGGACAAATCACTTATCTCTCTGTCTCAATGTCCGATCTATAAAATGGGGAATAATAGTGCTTCTACCATACCATTGTCTGTGTTGCCATTTAGATTTTAAGACCATGCTGGGCAGCCTGCAGCAGTCCCATATGACCCATCAGGGTCCTATATGTGACCCAGAAGACGTTTTGTTTACTGTTACCCATGCACAGGGTTGCCAGATTGCACTGGTTTCAGTCTATGTCATTTTTTTCCTACTGGTATTACTAAAACAATAATTGAAATATAAAGGACTAAATTATAGGCACACCAGGGTAATTTCCAAGTTCTTCAATGGGGGGGAGGGGCAAGAAGGCAAATATGCATCCCTGCATGCTCTTACAGTAAGGCAAAGGTACTTTATTATTGCAGCGGAACCATCCCACAAAGAAGTACATAGTCTAACAACTTTCTCTTGAGGGGAAAATATCTGGACACAACGGCCACTAAAGTCTTATCAGTTTGTGTGTTCCATGGGATCATCAGAGAGGATCAGGATCGTAAGAAAGCAGCACAAGATAGTCACTCCCTCCAGTTGGTAACAGTCTGCTCTTGTATTTTTCCCAGCATGCCATTTGGGAGCTGACCTCACGCAGGCCCAAAGTCGGTCTTTCAAACAGGATTTTGTACACTGAAATGTACTGCATTTC